TTATTTCAAACAATTTATCTTAAAATATATTTAAATGGCTGATATATGTTATAAATAATTGGGTCTTATGTCAAGTGTTGTATATATATATATAAAGGCTTCAAATAATTTTGGATGTCTTCACTCCATTATTATGAAAATAAAAATATTTGTTATAAATTTAAATTTAATAATTTTGCTTAAAAGCCTTTATCGTTTCTTACTGGTTTCTTTATTAATAATAATTATTAAAAAAAGTTTTAGCGCGCATTTCTCATTTATTAATGTCTGCAAAATGGTTTCGATTTAATGAACTGATTCAAGATATAAACTGAATTTTTCACACACGATCAAACCGCAAATTTTGCAAAACCACAAACGCAGATTACTTTCGGTTTATTGAATGAAATGTTTTTAACTTTAATTAATTTTTCTTAAATTTTCTCGTATTTCTCTGTTTTCCTGCTCCGCTGTTCCGGCTTCAATTTTTCAAACTACGCGGTCCAACGTTTGATTGAAAACTGAATTGTGAACAAGAAGCCCAAGTCGCAGCAGCCACAACTTTTGTTGTGCGCTGTGTCGCTGCAATGTTGAAAGTTGGCTACCTTTTCTGTTTGTTGCCGCTGTCTGCTGCCGCTGTATTTGTTTTTATTTTTTCAATTTTTGAAATCTTGTGCGCTATCATTTCTGGAGCATACGTTCAGTTCTTCAGAAGAACTGGTGGTCGTTCCTCGTTGTATAGTATTTCAACAATAAAACCAGGTATGTTATAAAGTCGGCACTTCGGGCACACAACATTTCTATAATAATAACAATTTTATATATGGAAAGTGTAACAAAGTATTTTCTTATCTATAACGACCAACAATATTATATTAATATAATTAAAATAAATAACTAATAAAAAAAAAATAACTGTTTTGCATTAATTTCGTTATTATTTAAAAATATATTTATATCAAAATATTCATCATAACCATAAAATAACTGATATGTACCTTAATAAAATAACTGATAGTACCTTAATAAATTCTCAAATGAAAAATAAATTTAATAAAAAAATGTTAACGCAATTTACTAAAGTAACTAAATCAGCTATTCAAATAAACCATCATTATAAAGCCTGATACTTTATTCAGGCAGCCAAATAATAAAGAATAATAAAGGATGGTATTCTGTAGTTTTATAAACATTACTGGATTTCAGGTATGTAAATTACTATTTTTCACTCTATTTTAAATGAATAATAGTTACAATTTTTTCTATATATTTAAATTTAAAAATTTGAACTATTTTCAAAATATTTTCCACGTTTTATTAAAGCCAACTGTCACTGATATTTATTTAGAAAAAATATCACTTTTTCGTTATCTCAATTTTATTTTTTGCTTAAAATTTATCTTACGCATAGTTGCATTTGAAATTGTCCTTAATTTCAGGCTTCGTTTCAACGAAATTAAGGTCATTTTCTTTATTTTCGTTCTTACCTCAAAATTGAATTTTATATGGAAAAACCAACTTAATTTCGCTGAAACGAAGATGAAATTAAGATTTTAACAAATTTAAGGTGTATCTGAACACAGTATGAGGTCAAAATAAATATTTCATTTTTTAAATTTGTTTTCAAAGACATGTTCATGATTTGAATCGCTTGTGGTTACCACCACGAATTGTTCTATTTTTTTTAATCTTATATATTATTTTGTAATAATATATAATATAGTAATCATTTGATTAAAATTAAATCAATCAAATTAAAAATTAATAAATTTGCATTTTAGCTAATTTTGATATTCACTTTTATCCGTATAATCATAATTGCATATTTAATACAATTTATATCAATTATGGAGTAAACTTTACTTCTCCAATGCATGTAGTTAGTGCTTTACTAAAATCATTTATAAAGAGGTTTTCTAAAAATAGTGAATTACAACAACAAAAATTCTTTTAGTCTTTGCATAATTCTTGTATATAATTATTCGTAAATAATTTTTTGAAACTGCAGATACCAGGAATCAAATTCGTGCCCGCCTATATTGAGGCTCAGAGTTAACGCTCCTTAACCAACTTACACAAAATCGTACTTGACTTTTAATTTCGCACATGGTTTTTGTTTTTGTAATGCCTGTGGTTCTTAACTGAATATATAATGTGCCAAAACTAAAAAACAAAACATTATAGTATGAGATCGGCTGGGACTCATTTTTAGTTGTTAAAAATATAAAAAATAAAAGCAAAAAAGTAGGATAAAATAAAATGAAATTATACAATATAACAAAAATCAAAATTAAAGAATATAAAATACAATAAAGCATTTGAACGAAAGAGAAATTAAATAATATAAAAAAATGTAACATAATAAATAATAAAATAATTTAAATAAATAATATACTTCCTTAGTTGGCCATTACAGAGTTTTTGGCTATATCGAGTAACCTGCCAGCCAGCCGAATCAGTTGTTTGCTGACACCAGTTGGTAGAAGCGTCCACAAATCGTTATTCACCTGGTCCTACCACCGAGTGATCATTATTAAATTTCTAGATGTCATTTTTGGTGTTGACGTTGGTCTCCAAATAAAAAAGTCTTTCACAACTTCAGACTTATAATTGTCAACAGTGACGTGGATTCCAAATTGTCAAAAGTCGTTGACAGAAAGTATTTTGTTTGGTCCTCATTTACCAGAAGACCCATTGGCTTCGCTTGTTTATCTAAGTTGGAAAATATCGCTTTGACGACGCGGCCGTTCAGGCCAATGATATAAATATCATCATATCAAATATATAATATATTATAAGTAAAATAATCATAATGTAGCTAAAGTTAGACGTTTGCTAAGGTTAGATTTATCGAAGCTTTCTCAAAAGCGGAGAAAACACATATCCGATTGTTCAGTTTTTATGACAGCTATAAGATGTAAAGGTTTAATTTTGGGTAATCTGACAAATAAATTCGTCCTCTGTCAAAGACGGACAAACAAAAACAGAACAGAACTAAACTAACTTAGCTCATTCAGCTGATCAAGAGTATGTATGTATACTTTGTGAACTATTCTATGTTTATTCAATGCGTTATGAAAACTCTAAAAAAACTGATGTACTCTTTTTATACTTTAAATATAAAAAACTTTAAAAAAATAATATTAATAATATATTAAAAGTTAATTGCAAAAATTTTATTAATTAGTTATATATTTTAAATTATATAATATATAATATAAATATAATATAATATAAATTATAATATATAATATAATAAATATATATAACACTTTAGAATAACTTCCAACATATATACAATGGAGTAGGGCATTTTTAACAGTCAGTCAATGCTTGTAATTTTTAACTATAGAATTTTATTTTTTTCGGTTGAGTACTGTCAATTGAACACGCAATCCTTGAGTGCTGCCACCTCTTTTAAGTAATTTATGCCACTTTAAAATATTTTACCCACAGGAACGCATTGCACCAACTTTGTATGTGCGATTACACATCGAAATTTTGTTCACAGCAACTGAAAACTTACTTTGCCGAAAACTTAAGGAAATTTTATTGATTACAAATTTTGTAGGTGCCTCTCCGTGTAAATGGACTGATACAAGGTCATGCAATAATTCGTAAACAGAAAAACTATTACAAATCGATTTTGAAATAAAATGTTTGTTTATTGTAAATAATTTAATTGGAAAAGTAGCCTTTGCCATTAACTTTAGCACTATTGCTTTAGCTGAAATAGAATAGTTTCTTTGAATTTATTACAATTTGAAACGCAAAGTATGAGCTTTAACTTTGTTTTACAAAAGTTAAGATAAATAATACTCTATAGTAATTAAAATATTTTGATACTCTCTGTCACAGTTTGGGCAAAAAGTGTTCTGCATTTCTTACTTAAAATTAAAAACATATTTTATAATTTTTAAACAAAATTAAAACAGTCCAAATTTTATCCTTTTTAAATCACTTTCTATCATCTTTTTACAATGTTTCGCAACAGCTGTGCACAATTCTTCCAGTTATCGAAGTACAATATAAGGAATTTTATTCGAAATTTCTATCTTCAAAGCTTTGAAATAACCTTGAACCCAAAGCAAAATTTCATTAGCCGTAGTTTTTTCTTTCAGAGTAGCAAAAAAATACTCGCAATTTACGAAAGAAAACATGTGAAGCAACAACAATGCTCTTAAAATCTTCAGAGTTAGGTTTCATTGCAAAAAATTCAAAAATTTATCTGTTGTGAATGTTCACATATAACTAATCCTTTCATAGTTACAGCATTTCAAAGTCAATAGAACATTTCAGCATTTCAAATCTCAATTAATCAAACTAATATGTAATTTGTTTGGAAACGTATACTACAACTGGAGGCAATCTGATAAGACTGAAATTATATTAGCATTTGAGAAGAAATTAATTAAAATCAATCAAAAATTAATATATAATATATCAACTTTTATATGTTCATCCAGAAATTTGAAATTGTACATTATCTTGCACATCAATTTTATATATTTTGAGCTATTTTCAGAGATTGGTCAAATTATCAAAGGAAACCGATATCGTTGCAGTAACTAAGAATATACTATATAGTAACTATAATAGCAGGTGAGAAAAAAGAAGAGAACTATGAGTTCAATGAAAAATATTGATTAAGGGCTTCGTAAGAGGAAAATCCACGATAAAGAATTTGTATAAATACCTTGATTGTATAAATGATGCAATAAACTTTATCAATGATTGGTATAATGTTCTGATTATTTAGTTTGTTAAAGTGTCACATATATCATAATAGACTAGTTTTGTGCCTTAAAATTCGAGATTAAAAGCGCTATGGTCTCTGTTCGCCACTGCAGGTGCACTTCATAATTGGATTGCAAAGAAATTTAATATACGAAAAACCTGTACTAACTTTTTAATCCTTTAAAATATGTAAACATATAGTAACATATATATAATATATATAATAAATTAACAATCTATTAAAATTTCACAACATTTACAGAGAAAATGTATGTCATCGAAAATAATTTTTTTCAAATTTTTAATTCATTTGCAATATAAGTAATATAATTATTTTTCATTTATGTAAAGTTAACATGTTTTCAAGAAATGATTTCTATATTTCCATAAAATTAATATTTGAATTGGACTTGTCATCAAGAGTCATCTCCTCGTCAGAGTCGAGAATAGGTGGGTCTAAAATTTCTCGGTTAGTATTAATAGGAAGATAAGGAAATTGTTCAAAAGTATTATGGAGAATAGGTGGTGCTGAAATTTCTCGGTTAGTATTAATAGGAAAAGAAGGAAATTGTTGAGAAACATCTTCAGGACGGCAGCAGAACATCACCCCTTGAGTTGGAATTAAGCGCAATTCCCGAAATATTGTTGAATTAAGCCACGAAACTTCATCACAAATATCTTGACAAAATATTGGACTGTTCTCTTCATTTAACTAAAAATTGAAATAAATATATATGTTATAATATTGTATATATTACATAGGCAACGATTGACTTGCTTTTGCAAATGGTGAGTTGTAGGCAACAATTACTAACTCTTCTGCATTCTGGCTAGAATTTGTTGATATCAAATACGACCAAATATATTCAGGTGCATTTAGCAACGCTTGGTTTTGATTGCAGTTCTCTGTAGGGATGCTTATGATTCCAGCAGTGCCAAGGTAAACCTGGTATTGAACTGTGTTGGTACGCTGTTTTAATATCGTCTGATACTGTCTCCAGTTACCTTGGTGCAGATTTCTCCACCACACAATGTTTAGAATTTTGGTCTGAGCAGTAAATTTGGAAGCGTCTGCAATACTTAAATAGTCGAAATCCAAACCATTAAGTATTGCATTCCTTAATCTTAAATCTTTTAGTTGTACTTGAAAAGAAGGGTCACTTTAAAAAACAAAGTATAATATATATTATTATTTAGAGCTCAAGTAATTACAATAATATTTTATATAAGTACCTCATAAAGTCAAAATACAATTCATAATTGTCAAGAACTTTATCTAATGTGACTATATCGAGCTTTTTCGAATGTTGCTATTTAAAAAAATCGAAATTATATTAAGTAACTTACACCAAGAAAAGTAATTTAATAAATATTTCTTACATTTTTGTAGAAAACTTCTAAGTTCGTGTTTGAGTAAGAAGTTAGGAATGCCACGTATTTTAGCGACAAATTTTCCCAGTCATAACATATGGCTAATGAAACTTCCTCGAGTTCAGAAAAAGACGCCCCAATTCCCATCGACATATATTTATCACAATGAGGTAACTTCTGATTACTTTCATACAATTTCAATCCACTTGATTCAGAGCAAGAAATCAACACATTCCTACAAAACTTTTTACTTTGGTGCTGCTTTAAGAAAAGTTCATTTAAGAAACAACGAACTTCGATTAGGTTAAGATCTGGCAATTTCTGTAAATACTCGTAACTGTTATAATTGTTATAACCGTTACAACTAAAACGATAATGAAAACCACACGTTAGAAAAAAGAATTTCATATACAACCGCATTTAAGATATATTCATATATAAATGATTGAATATGTAACTTTACTTACTCCATTCTTAGCGCACCTTCACAATATAATTGAATAGATTCATTTTCGTTTAGTGTTACTGTTGGTAGTTCCTTTGTAATCAAAATTTTTTTTGATCCAAACTCTTTCACAAATGTAACCTGAAGTGTATGAAAATTACAAATACTGATAACCAATCCTGGAAGCATAAAATATGCAAAAATCTTGACGAAAGTAGAAATCATCTTCAGCACTCAAAATTTTGATATTAACTGAATAAGTCTATGAATGTACTGATTTATATAGTCGGAAAGGAGCACTATGTTTTTTGTACAGGCATATAAGTTGACCACACTGGCATAAGTACATTGCTGCAAACCGATGCATTTCAGACGCTTGAGTTCTTTCAATTTATTTTGTTTAAATCCAAAATATTGTGTAGGGACTAATATCAGTCCCAGTCTGAAAGATTCCAGGTATGTTACACAAGTGGATAATTTTTTTTTATATACTATGCACAAATGTGCTAAATACTGACTTTAGTGGTGTAATTTTTTACATTAGCTAAAACGTTTATTAAATATCGTGTTGTTGTTGATATTTCATATACAAAATATGTTGAACACTCTCAGAACTCTATTATTTGATAACTTATAATAAATACATTCTAAGTTTTTTAATATATATCATAAACAACCAATGGAGATAAATATTATGTATGAGTATAAATATGTGTACCCATATTTGACTCTGAATGATTATATATATATATAAATCCTGTAATAGTAAATACATTAACATCTACTTGAATAAAAAGTATTGGAGTTTTTTGTAATCACGATTACGTCAGCACCCAATCTTCAGGATCTCCAAAACCGAGCAGCATTTTGAATCTATGTTCTCGATTTTATATTTAAATGCTTGATGTTCGTCTTAAATATATTAATTATCTCGTATATATATTAAGTACGACGTTACCTTATCTGCTCATTTAATATATATATTAAATTGTATTGTAAATATTATAAGCGATAATTTCTCAAATGTGTTGGTTTTTGTTTCCGCATTAGTTTTTTCTCAATCTTGAAAAAAGTGGAATGGATGTACGAGTGTTATTATGCATTATACTATTTACCTTAAGAGATTTCTTTTTTTGTAGTTATCTATCAAAAAGAGTAGACTAGTGGACAGTGGACTACGCAAAGAATAGCGTTTATGCAAAGAATCATCAAACTCTCAATGGTTTGAAACATCTTGGCGAACATCAGCCAAGTTATTAGTAAGGTAATTCTCAAAAGAACCTCAAATTACCTCAATCCTAGTACGGTAAGATTGTACTGAGTGAAATTGAATTTCTTACAGAATGTCAAGGTTAAAAGAAAGTATTAAAATATATGTTTAATGAAAATCTCAATTACAAGTTTGTTTTATTCACATTTGTTTTCAGATCCATAAAATATATCAACTTCAAGAAACGGTATATATTATTTTGCATATATTATTTTGATGAATATGTCACCATTTTAAGAAATGGGCATTGTACAAATTTCAATGCATCTTCATTAAGATGTCTTTATGGTAAAACTACTATGACTTTCCTATCTTCGCAGTCGGATTAATGGTGTGCTATATACCACTTTACAAAACTCATTAAAGTGGATCTTAATCCTAAAAACCATATATTCTAAAGGCAACAGTGCACATTGCATTTGTGTAGATCATGCATAGATGCAATATTGCGCTATTGTGGAATGGATTGGAAATACGCTCCTTATAAATTCCAATAAAATATGGCATTCGTGTGATTTCAACCGGAATCCCTAGAATCCCTACGAAGACATAAAATTATGATGACCTCATATAATTTGTGGGTCTAATTTATAGTAATAAGCAAGTGTGATGAGTATGACAAGCCATTTTTTTTAAATACGTTTACTTTTATTTATTGTATTTTCTCCCACGACGAAACTAGCTATAAGATTTAAAATCTTATCAATAATTATTTAATATTATAATTTTTATTTCAACTATTCAGTGTATAATATAAAAAAAATATACAAACCTTATATTATGAACCTCACATACATCAATACCTCAAATTTCATTGGAACGAATGTTCGGTGGTTTATTAAGAAAACAATTGAACTATATCAGATCACTAAGAAAAGAGTAAGGTTTTTACTTGCTCTTTTTAGACGAAATGTAGTGGATAAAAGTGTGAGATTCCTAGCTAAGGGGTTCACATGTTCTGTGTGAAGATGGTATAATAAACCATAAAATGAATTTAAAACAATTGAAACAATAGATGGAAATAATAACATCTTCTCATTTGGTGAATAGAAAATAGTAATGAAATGATCATTATAAGATTCATCACTTTAAAGATATTCCAGAATTGTTGCAAAAAACCATCGAATAAAAGGCAGAACAGTGAAGGTGAAAAAAAGCAATGACTAGAGCCTTTTTTCGTAACATGCTGAAAAATTCAAATGGGTTTCTTATCATCGAATCAAAAGATCGCTGACGGTAGGTCTTATGTTGAGGTTTTTCCGAGTAAGTGTAACTGGGCACTTTCTTACTACTCTTTCTTAGCGGGGGGTTTCTACAGAGTCCCTCCCTTCTTTTTGACTAATCTATGTTTTCCTCACAAGCTTTGCTGATTATTCGATGACTAATTTAAGACTCTTCGGAGAGCCTGACTTCAAGCACCTTATAACTTTTAGATAGTAGAGTTAGCAGCTTACCTGACTGTAGATCAACTTTCTGTTTTTAGCGCTAAGGTTAATGTGTTTAAAAAGTAGCCGTAAGCACTGCAGTGTCCTAGCACAGTTACTTCTTTTTTTAAATATGCTTGTGCCAAATGAACCGCTTATCAAACGTGATTCCGAGGTATTTGATGCTGTCCTCCCCATTTATCGCAATGTCATCAATTCTCACCCACGGTGGATGCTGCCTGTATTTACAAGTTATAAACACGGCCTTAGTTTTCCCGCTGTTTATTTTTTTTTACACTTCCAGAAGAATTCCAGGTTGAGATTAACATGCTCCTGCAACGTGTTGGTTATATTTCTGGCATATTTATCGGAATAAAACATACACGTGTCATCTACATATAGTGCTAGCACCAAGGGTCTTACCATTGGGATATCAGATGTAAAGATGTTGTACAACATGGGGGAGAATGGTGATCCTTGAGGAACACCGCCTTCTATTCTTCGGACAGAAGAGACGGTATCATGGATTCTTACACGGACGGATCTCTCACGCAGGAAGCTGCCGAGGATTTTGTTCAGCCCGACTGGGACACCAAAACGAGACATTTTAACTATCAGGTCTTGCCAGACCTTGTCAAATAAATAAAATAAGTAATAGTAGTAATAGAAGTAATGCAATTTACCACTAGAAATAACGTAATAGCTACACTAATATAACACTCCGATGATTTGCAAACGATGTTATATATATCAAATTGAAAGAAAAGTATTTTGAGAAAAAAAATCATTATAGAATATATATATGCTATGCTTCTTCAAATTACATCATTTATTGCCTAAAGTAGTATTAGCTAATGTAATTTATACAGTGTTATACAGTATTAAATATTACTCCGAATAAATTAACTTATAATAATAATATATAATTCAATTTTTTAATTTAATTTCTTTTCAAACTGAAACTGATTTTATTTTTGAATATTTCTAACGTCAACTAATGTGGACTTATTAGACCAATACAAATTATATTTTTTTTGTGAAAAAACAATGTACAACAAAATAAAATAAACTTTTATTAACTAATTTTTTTTTGGTATTATTTAATTTGTTGAATAAAATCATATAAACTGAAACATAACTTTAGAATAAAACTATTAAAATTATACATAAATAAAACAAACTACCTACTGGGAACTGCAGGACGCCCAATATTATTTCCAATTTATTTTTTATTAATTTTTGAGGGTCGCAGCCTAATATGAGAAAAATATTTTTAAATTGAACAATTTGAAGAAATGAAGTCTATATTGTTTAAACATAATGTATAATGTTTTTTTTGTCTACTTTTTTGTTTAACTTATTATTTACAATGGAATAGTTTATTTGTAAAATTATCTTAAAACAAGATAATTACAACAAAATAATAATATTATTTTGAAAGTATATCCTTCACACAACTGTAAAACTAATATAACTATATACATATCAGTCAAGATGTATGCAACATACTGAAACAGAACAGAGTTCTTATATATTATGGTAAGTATATTTTTAATCATCGTCACAATATCAATCTAATTATTACTCTGCATTTATTTTTGAATTTGACCTGAAATATACTCGCTCACTACCAGGACCCATCGAATGAAGCTTTAAATCAAAATTTTTAATGATTCAATCAGACCATATTTTCGAATGGATTCAATTTTTCTATTTTAAATATAAGTAAAAAGTATAAGGTTATAACATCTCCTATATATATTAATGAAATTGTTGATATGTAACAAAAATGGTTTATATTATAATGACTTATGGTTGATATATTAAACACTTATGGTTGATATATTATGGTTGATATATATTATTTTTATAAATAGATGAATATCGAATATAGATTTATACGATAGTTCCTTTTAATATACACATAGTAAAACTTTTATGTTTTTCTATTTCTTCTATTCTGCTCTTATTTTTTTTTCTGAAAAATGTCCTACAAAATTTTTCTTCAATATTCTGACTGTACCACAGATAATTAAAAATAAATAAGATTATATACTTTTACATAAATTCATGTAAATTGGTTTTTAATATGTCTTCATATAAATCACGACTCAACGTGTTAGGAAGATAACCTTTGATTGAAAAAATCAAATCAATCTATTTTTTTAACCTTTCGAATCGTTGCCCATTTGTGATTGGCCTTGGATATTTTTATAATAGTTGTCGGTGGTATAACGATGTGAATCTGATGCCCTGTACTCCTCTAACAGTTTAGTTTAAAGTACATATTAATTTCAGTAAACAGAAAATAACACATCAGTTGGGGAATACTAAAACTAAGACTTGACTTGATAGTATATCTGTTATACAAAATACATACCATTTTCAAAAAGTGTTGGAACATTTCATGACACTCTGATCCTCAGTAACTTAAGATAACATCAAAAAGTTTATAAAATAATATTTACTGATTATATAGTGAAGTTTGTGGACGTCGTTTATATCAGTTGGTAAAGAATATTACGATTTCGGCTGAACAGTTGATAATTCAAATTGACTGGAAATAGGAGCAGAAGCAATAATAATCCTGAGAAATGATTAATCATATTACATATTATTTAATACTATTTTTCTCTCCCTAGAACATAGGGCCTCTATATTACATTTTAGACAATCGTAACTATTGGTAAAACATCGCATTATTATAAAAGCGTCAATATGGTAGTCACTAAGAACAAAGCGATCGATAAATTTTGTCCAAATCGACCAAAAACGAAATAGTATATATGGACACGAAAATATTTTCGACTATTTGTATAGACTTTTTGTATTGCTAAACAAAAACTAATCCTACGATATGCGAATTTACCAATTGGATAAGCGCGAGAATTCGAAAATAGGTCTCTCGTTCAAGAACAACTAATTATAAGTCAGCAACTAATTTGAAGCAATTTCAAATCTTTCTATCTCATATAATCCAATTATCAATTATATCTGAACTATTTAACTCTAAGTGGCTTAAGCCGAGAGCTTATGCCTAGGCTTAGTCCCAAAACTATATTGAACTAGTGGTTATTCACACATTTTATGAGTTCTATTGCAAATATAAGTAATTTTGAGATTTAAAAGTTTGTATTTAGTATCTAATTATAAAAGAAAATTGCAAAAGTAAAATTAAAGCATTCAAATTAATTAATAAAATAAATTAATTAATTAACTCTTTTTACTTTAAATTTATTTAATAAAAAAATGTTCTGTCTCTGAATGAAAACCTATGAATTTAAGATTCCTGTGAATTCCTATTTTTTTTTTGTTTTGGTAATTAAAAAATGCTTTTCAAATTAGTATCTAAATAATTAATTTTAGCTTATAAAATGTTGGAATAATATTTTACGAATGGAAGAACTAGAAATATGATGTTATTTTTAATTCATTTTTCCGTTAATTTTTTAAGGTCAAATTAAAAATCAAATAAATTTTTTTTTAATTAAATAATTAAAATAGCAAAATGTATGAGGCTATAAAATTCATAAAAAATTGTATATAAATATAAATTAAATAAAATGTTTAGCCAATCCGTAACCATGATTTTCCTCAATGAAATTTTTCAATTAAAAATTTATTTTACAACAAAACTTTTATTGTTTTATTTAATTTTGTTATTTTTTTTTACTTTCATTTTTTATATAAATTATTTCGAAACAGCTGTATGGTCAGCTAAAAATTCAATTTATTAAAATAATATAAAATTAGTGTTTGTTGTAGTTCACTACTGTTCGAAAAAACCTCTTTATAAATTATTTCTGTATTTTTATCAATACCATTTTTAATCAAACTAAATTAAATAAATATTCAACTTGATCACAGTATATAAATCACTTACATTTATGTAGATTATAGACTGCTGCCTTAGTACAGATATCAAAGCAAAATAATATATAATATATTTGTGAGTCAGATCTAATGTACACAGCCCAAGATTATAAAGTGTTCGCTTTCAGTTAGAATTTCGTCTACATAAATATTAAAGGGCACAATCTTAGGCACTTAGTTTCTTAGGCACTGCGATTTTAGAATAGAATTAGCAGTCTATCTAAGCAACTTTTCTACTACAATGTATGCTATATGGTTCTTTAGATATCAAGCTCGAAGCTGCAAAGTTTAACATTGATTATATATAAATAAAATTGCTTCGTTATCTAGTGGCAACTTATACGTTTCATGATATTAATAAGACCACCATCTGCCGCGTCGTGTAATAGAAATCCTCTCAGCAATAGAAAAGATAAAGAAATTTAAAAAACCTGTACGAATGCTTGAAGACATCCACGTGTTGAATATAACTTTTGGAAACAAAAAAAAATTTAAAGTATGTGAGATCTATTGAATAGTAAGTTATTTGAAAAGAATTTAAATTTGCTTAAATTTAAAACTTTCAAGTTTATTATTCGATATTGCCGCTTTTGGGCTCTATACAATTACTGCGACTGCATTCCAATTTTGTTACACTTTCAGAAAAATAGAATTCATCGGGGTTCTTCAAGCATTCATTGGTTATACAGATAACGCCTGAATGTAATTTAAGTTTTACTTCTCTAAATTTTATTTCATTGGATAAAGGCAAATTGGCTAAGTATATTGCATATGGCGACAGTCCATATATTATTTCATCAATTTTAGTGTAACAAATGGGCAGATGCATTATTTTGATATAATGGAGTTCTGTTATGATGTTGCCCTTTTCAAGATAGTGTATCATATGCATAATTATGTCATAAGGATCCCACATATGAGAAGCCATTACCTTTCTTGCTGATGACTCTATTCCAGTCATTTTTAGAGCACGTTAATAATTAAAAATACATTTTCTAAATTATCTTCCCCTTTCAATGTGAACTGTTATAAACATGACTCAACTACAATTAAAAATCCATGTAAAACTTTCCCAATTACACTGGCATATTTTGAAGTGGCAAACACTCCTTTAAAGTAATTACATGAATATATTTTTGATCCATAGTGAATCAACTCGCCACCGTGTAGATAGATTTTTATAAAATGCAAAATATTATAAATGCATTTTCTTGACCTCTTTACTATATCAGCAGTCTCGATAATGTATATTCGATGATCTTTCATCTCTAGTTTAAAGATTTTATTAACCTATGTGGAATTGTTATCTCTATTCGACGTCCTGACAATGTAGCAGCTTTCTACTTTTCCACTTTTCCACGAACTAATTTATTTCACGTATAATAAACGGAAACTTTTTTCACATTAAATTTATTTAATAAAAAAATGTTCTGGCACTGAATGAAAATCTATAAATTTAAGAATCTTGTCTTTTTTTTTTGATATTCAAAAATACTTTTCAAATTTGTACATAATTAATTTTAGACTTTAGAAGCACAAGAAATATGATTTTATTTTTCTATTTGTTACCGCATAATTTCTTTTTCTTTAAATAGTAATCGTCAAATCAATACGTTCTTATAATATTCAATTTCTAAGCCCAACCGCTAAATCTAATACAGTACTCATTCACAACTTCCAATAAAAATTTCTTAGTATAATAATAAACTCTATGTTCCTAATAAGAAATATCACTTAACATGTTAATTCCTCAAACCGTTTCATACGAATCTTCCCTTCAGTTAAACCAGATCTTTATCGCAAAGGATTGGTACAATCTTCAAGAATTTTGTCAATAAAATTAAATAGACCGATATTTTACTGAGCTGATTAATTTCTCTAATTATTGCTCAATAAGACGTTATAGGTGCAAAAAAGTAGAAAAAAAAATTTTTTTGTAATTTATAACTGGGCTGTCTAAACCAGATGCGATCGCGGGCCAATACAAATCACTGTATATATTGAAGGACCGCAGAAACAAATACGTATGTTATTAGTTGTTTTTTAATTAAAATACAGTTATGTTAAATTTAGTTTTATTAATTTATGTAATTTATGTAGTTTTATTAATAATGTATAGTAAATTCTTTTTCACAGTACTTATGGAAATTATGGAACATTTTTGTAATTTTTTCAAAGTATTCTTAATTAAAATAACTTCGTGTAGATATTTTTATATTATGATAAAGTTAAAATATTGATTTAAAAAAAAAAACTGGTAACAGACAATTTAAATTTTCAGTCGCATCGTTACATATTACATTCCTGCAAGAACTTTTTTTCGTACTATTTGTGCAAATGTATGTAAAATTATTGCATACTGTGCACCCTGGCTTTTGACAGATGAGGATTGTTTCGCTTTTGTACTTAGTTGGGTGAAGTTTGTTTCCTAAGCGCTGTGCTAGTGAAGAATCTGTTTCAGGAAAATATATAAGAAAATTAGTGAAAAAGTGTTTAGTTAACGAAGATGCATTTTTCCTATTGGAAAATTGCCATATACGTGTTGACATTTTTGACGTACGCATACTCGGGATATGGTTCCAATACAATAGCTCATTTGCGAGACGCGCTGATTGCTGCAGAAGCGATATTTGGCGATGTGTTCCGAAATGTTATTACAGTCGCTAAGAAATTCCGGACAGTGCATGAAGTATTCGATGCGGCTGTAGACGAGAATTGCGTATTTACGTGTCCTAGTACAGAAGGCGGTCCAGGTAAGCAGCCTATGGTATTTCATGTCAAAGGAACTGTTCATTACGTAAATTTCCAAACTATATTAAAATGCGGTGTAAAACTGCATCAAGAAAATGTTTGTTTATAATTTTATGCCGCTTTTTGTTTTTTTGTTGATGTTTTAAATTGTATTTGACAACCACAGCTGTTCGCATTTTGGAAAAAAGCTTACGCACTTTTCCAGTTAGCAAAAGTTTTCCAGACACAATTATATTATTGCTTGCAATACAAAATTAAACACGTTTTTGTTTATTATTCGTTTAAAAAACTTTTGAATGACGTGTATTTGTTATTTGTACGCAGAATCATATAATTTGTTGTATTTTTAAAAACAATTTTTGTAATGTTTTCATTCAGAAGATTTAAAAATAAACAGATTTGTATTGCGAAGTTCAAGTAAAAATGTACAGCGCCACCTGTAGTAAACATATTTTTGGATTTGGTTTGTGTATTTGCTAAAAGCGCAATCAAAGCACTCACATGACAAAAGTCTCGTACGAATTCGTAACGAAATTCCAATTTTAATGTCATAAACTTTTTTATTAAAAAATTATCTAAAAATCAGATTACTTAGTTTTAATTGAATTTAATATTTGTTTTAATATTTTACAGATATCCGACCAGTACAAAACAAACTGTACACGCCGACCGCTGATGGCTGCGGATCGTTAGGACTCCGGATTGACACCGAATACTTGCCCGCAGCGGAAATGGAGACGTGCTGCAATGCCCATGATATTTGCTACGACACTTGCAACAGTGATAAGGAATTGTGTGATCTGGACTTTAAACGTTGCCTCTATAAGCATTGTGAGACATACGACAAATCCATCGTTAGCGATTTGATGATCAAAGGCTGTAAGGCTGCTGCGAAGATGCTTTTTACGGGTACACTTACTTTGGGCTGCAAATCTTACTTGGATTCGCAGAAGCGCACTTGCTATTGTCCCCCGCCAAAGCCCACAAAAGATGAAAAATATTATAATAAAAATGGGAATGGCGGCGATAAATATTACAAAAACAAAAAACAGAAATATGGTTGGAAGGATCCGAATGAGTTTTAAATATTTAAGCGATATTTAGTTTTGAAAAGTATTTTAGTGGCGAATTTACCGTTGTTAGTTTGTTGACAGTATTTTGTTGATTTTTTATTTTATGATGCATATTTTGTATGCACAATCGAAATATATACACAATAAATGATATTGGATGAAAGCGAATTATTTATAATTTTAAGAAAGTTTTTTTTTTTAACTATGCAACAGATATCAGAAGTAAGCGATTATAACCATTCACTACATGGCTATACTTATGCATATATACTTAATCTCAGTTGCAAGGACATAAAAAGATGACAAAACAGTACGCAATTGGATAGGACTGGAAAAGTAATATAGAATTAGTTAGGAGTACGAATGATAGTAAGGTCCAGGCCAGTGAAGCTATTTGAAATTGTGCTATAGTTGGATCACATCTTATGAATACAGGTATATATTTAATCGTAACAAATAACTGTTAAACATGGGCCTATATCCTATGTAATGTTTGTTTGAAAAATAATCGAAAATCTGTTGAGCATTAAATTTATATATTTTTTTTTTTATATATTTAATATATAATTGTATTCTATCTAAAACTAATCCGATATTTTACAAAGTTTTAATAACATTATTAACATAAATGATAGTCGTGCTGCGTATGTCCCCTTTGAAACATCGCTATGAAGAACTTATTTCAGTTTTAAGTTGTACACAGATCAATTGGAGCTTTTCTTTTCAGTCGAGGGTGTGTCATTAGATTTGAAGCCAAATTGTTTGAATGCGATCTAATACGATTAGCGTATGCGGCAGCGATGCTTTTTGCTTCCTCCCTAACTAGTGGTATATTAAGGTCACGATGAATTTGGGAATTTGTGATGTACCACGGAGCGTTCGCTATCATTCGCAGAGTCTTAGATTGGAATCTTTGTAATATTTCAATATTTAAATTTGAAGCTGTTCCCCACAATTGGATGCCATATGACCAAACAGGTTTCAAAACACATTTGTAGAGAATGATTTTATTTTCCAGAGAAAGAGAGGAGTGTTGGTTGAGCAACCAAGACATATTTCTTAATGGAATACCAAGTGATTTCCTTTTGTTGAATATGTGCATTTTCCACGTTAGACCTCTGTCTAGATGAATTCCGAGGTATTTTGAAGCAGTTGACTGTGGTACCACAATATTGTTGAGCTTTAGTTGCTCTTCTTAGTGGGAAAGTGACATGAGATGACTTGGACTTATTTGTTTTTATACGCCAACGCCTAAGCCAAATTGAAATCTCATCGAGACTAGCTTGTAGCATCAAAGAAACGGTTGTTGGGTTTTTTGATGTAGCTAATATTGCCGTGTCATCTCCAGTGAAGATATTAGTTCTTGCTGGTAAGTCATGCATAAATATTAAATATAGCAGTGGACCTAAGACGCTGCCTTGCGGTACTGCAGCTTTTATGCAGTGAAGTGATGAGATATCAAACTTTACATAAAAATGACGTTCTGAGAGATATGATCGCAAAAACATATAAAAGTTAACTGGTAATGCCATTTTTAATTTATTAAGAAGACCATCATGCCACACGCGATCAAATGCTTGTGAAATATTCAAGAACGCTGCCGAGCAATATTCCTTTTGGTCAAACGCCGAGTGTATTTTTTCTACTATTCTGTGTACCTGTTCTATAGTGCTGCGACCTTGCTTGAATCCAAATTGATGGTTTGGTATAACTTCAAGTAATTGAATTATTGGCAAAAGACGTTTTAAGAATAGTTTTTCGAGTACTTTTGACACAATAGATAGCAGGCTGATTGAACGATATGACCTCACATTCTCGCCTGGTTTACTTGGTTTAAGTATCATTTTGACCTCAGCAACTTCCCATTTCATCCAGATATGTTGGTTTTTTATTTTATTTTTTAATTTTAGAGGTGATGTGCAATCGAAAGAATAATATTTGTAGTTTAAGATATTTCTTCTCAATCCTACAGATAGGTTTTGGTCGTTATTATGTTAAAAAAAAATTTTTTTTTACTCAACTAGTAAAGAAAGCAAACACGATTTAGAGTAGATATTTTTTAATCGAATTTTCGTCACTTAGAAAGTCATTTTGGTTCCAAACTTCTCATAATTGTAAGTAGAAAGCTGAAAAAATATTAGCCCAACATCTGCTGGTCTGTCGAAAAGTATTCATATGTCAACCTTTGTCTGTGGCTGGCACTCGACTTCTGCCAAAAAACGAGAAGTTTCATCGAAAGCCACCAACTTTCCCTAGCTCATCAACGCGCTTGTTCTCCGCTATATTTGCATATCTAGGAATCTTAACTAGAGTTATTTTGGAATTACAACCTAATAAGTTGATAAATCATCTACATTCGTCAACTAACTAGCATTCGTTTTTTTGTATATCCTTGAAAAGTGACTTTATATGATAATTATACTTTGGTACGATAACTTCTGCATGTTTCTCCGTGGTGGGCGATATTTTTTATTAATGATTAAAACGTCAATAGAATCTGTTGAGTGAAGGAATTGACCGTCGCCTCTAATTACATACTCAAATTAATTGGAGTTGGGTTACTACGAACAACCAATCTAGGTTACTAAGACTGTTTAACCAATCTTGAAATATCTATCACAAACATGATATATCTAATATCTAAGAAAGTTATTTTAGTGAAATAAATTATTGGATGTTATTGGGTGAACACCTCGAATCATTGGTCACTAAAAATTGGGAAGCTGAACGAAGGTTAATATCTACACCTCTTCCCAACATACACGACCATCCATGCTAAGAAAAAAAGGGATATAGTTGGAGTGTTGCCCCTATTAATTTGCAAGTGTCTGTAAAAAGTGATTGAAACATACACATAAATAGTGATCCGACTGATTGAATATCTTCGAAAAAGAAATGGAATTTTATCAATATTTAAATTTAGTCCTATAGAATTGTTTGATCCTGTTTGATGAAGGAATAAAAGGTGAGTTATTGTTATTGCTAAGACAATCAAAGGTAAAATGAAATTAATTATAATGTATAACGAATAGCACACCATCTGAACACTTTAATTAGCATTATAAGTTATGGAATATTTAGCAAACTATTGTAATTAATAAACAATTCATAGAAATTGATAAAAGAATAATTCTTTCATTATAATTCTTTTTAGAGAAATAGTACACAGCCAAGCAATGGCTGTTGACGAAAACTGACCACTTAAGTGACACTTAAAAATTCTAATAATAAATGTCAAATCATGAATTTGAATAATAATTTAATTTGAAAGATTGTTTTTACTGACAAAAGAAAACAATTATTTTAGTTTTTTTTTTTTTATTTTATTATTATTTACCTAAACACACATTTCTTAAATCTTTTTCAAAATTTTTTTTTTTAATTATGCATTTTTATTAAATAACTTTAAATTCTTTCAAAATGCAAGATTTCATTTGCACAATTTTTTCCCTTTAATCGGAAATATACAATTAATTAATATTATCATTTAATTAAATATAATTTTTTTTTAATCTTTTCTTTTCAAAAATTTATAAGCTTATAATAACGTATGTTTTGATGTATGTATAAGAATGTATGTGGTTCGTCGTGATACATAATAATAATAACCATAATTCGGATATTGAACGATTATATGATTTAAAAAAATCAGTTTAAACCTTTTGCTAAAATTCTGCTAAATAAACAATTGAATAATATATAATATATATGTATATAGCTTATTTTGAATGTATTTGAAAATATTATATATGTTCTTATAAATGAAGAAGTATGTTTGTTATACTATCGTAATATATAAATACAAATTACATATCAATAAATTCGGGGTCTTGCTTGTTTTCTTTATTTATTTTTTATTTTCATAATATTTAAATTTATGTATCTTTTTCGGGGAATTAATATTTCTTTTGTAGCTAAACATTTAATAAATGGAAATTTCTTAATTTATTTCAATTATGTAATAATGTACAAATATTAAAATAGAATCAAAAAATAATTATGCGACTAAAAAGTTACAAATTTTAGGGATTAAAAAAAAATTATTCGTACATAAAAATATTATATTTAAATAATTTCTATTTTACATACTTCATAAAAATATATAATATATAACATTGAAGATTGAAGATAACATTGAATTATATGATTTAAAAGTAATTTCATTTTCTTTCATTAATAAAAAATAATAAATAGTTCAATCTCTAACTATTGATAACTAAGGAAAATATATATAATAACTTATTTATAGTTTATATTTTTAATTTTAAAAATATTTAAATTAATTTGTATAATTATTTAATTAACAAAGAAATTGAAATTATTTTTAAACAACGTATGAAAAAACTGCTAATAAATACATAATTGAAATTAATTAAAAATAAATTAAGGAGCTAAGACTTTACAATTTATTGTTTATTTATTGAATATGTTTGTATATAAATAAACAGGTAAGCATTTAATTTTAATTTAAGTTAATTTAAGTTTATTTGTTCTTAACAATTCGTAATGAAATCTGGTGCAATATGATTTTAATTTTTTTTTATATTTCTTTTAATGAAATTATTTTATTATTTATTTTATACATAAAACATTTATATGATAAAATTCATACTAAAAATATTGCTTAATTTTGGTTGCTGTTAATTAGTTTGTAAGGTGCAATAAAATTTGAAAAATTCAAATAAATTTGTATAATTATCGATTTTATTTAAATTTAAAACTATGAATTTGCAACTACCGATTTTTTTGTCATTTCCGTCATTTCCGTTTCCGCTGTATTTTTCATTAAAATTTTTAATTTAAACTACGACAATGAAATTTGCACACATTTATTAATGGCTTCATCTAATAAACAACATCAAAAAAATTCAAAACAATTTATTTATTTATTTTTGTTTTTTATTTTTTTTCGCAAAATTGGTGGATTTGAAACCAATATTCTTTTTGCATTTAAAAAATAAATATTTTCGACGTTTTTGCACATCTCAGAAATGCTTGAATAGCGTAAAAGCGTAATATAATATTAGAGAATTAAATTAAAATTCTAGCAAAAATATTAGCACAAATTTTAGGTACAAAAGTATAAAATGAATTTATTTAAAATCATTGGGCACTAATTTGGCACAAAATTTCAACTAGACAACAAATTACTTTCTTATGTCT